AAAAAACGTTTTTTGCAAAGAAATTGCCATACCAGTTCAGTGGTCTAACAAACGTCAACAAGATACCTCATCTGACTTCACAAGGACAATTTGCAGTCTGAAATGTGCAAGAGGCTTGCCATTCGATAAAAAAAATATAAAGTCACGTAAAATGTGCTACGCATGTGGAAACGTCTTAAAGCACATGCAATATATAAGCAAAGCTAAATGCAACATTTCCATTGCTGGCATTGCTAAGGACACTTCAATAAACCGCCTTAAGTCGCACCTTATGCTGACAGAGGCAGTCAAGAGCAACAGGAACTTTTTCTATGACAACTACACTGTCAAGGAGTTGATGCTCATCGTAAAAGCATACAACCTAAAATTGCCAGCTAAACAAAAGCAAAAAATAAATGATAACCTTGCCGACCATGTAATTGTAAGCAGTACATTTGCCGACCCATCCCAGTTCAATTCCTACGGGAAATGGACGTCACCTCCACCGCAAGGAACACCATCTCAACATCAACCGTCATCATCATCTGAGAGGACATCTACGAGTCAGCGCATCGAAAGTCCGCCGCACTCAGACATTGTGGAAGTGAAGATGGAGGAAGACACAGAAGCTTACCTTTGCCCTGCATGCGACGGACTGTACGATGACGAGCAGGCAGAGTTGTGGGTAGGCTGTGATTTCTGTGATGCATGGTGGCATAAAGAATGCTCTACAATACCATTCACAGCCTATAGTGATCCGACAACTGTAACATGGAAGTGCGATGTGTGCCTTAGCAAAGAGCAGCAGTAGTAGGCATCGTTACAGTATGCCTTATTCGCCGGTAACGAAGAGACGCTGTAGGGAGTCACTGCGTCGTCGTCACGGGCCCCAATGGGTGCACACGACAGAGCGCGTTCATTCTCGAGCTCACCGAGACTGCGCAGCTAGTCTCCTGCTCTACCAGCCACACATTTCCAGCATTTCCTCTTGCTGTTGTGGTGTGGCAACGCTGCGACACCAGTAACGAAGAAGCGGTCATCGAGGAGGAGCTCGTCGCGTAACGCCGTGAGCTCGCTAGGGGGCGACACCGGCAACATTTATCGATGACAACAGCAAATGTGAAACGAACTCACTGCATTGGACCTGTACGAGTTTGACGGAGACTTCCTGTGCATTGGAAAGCGAACGGCTGCACATTTCCAGCATTTCCTCTTGCTGTTGTGGCGTGGCCCAGCAAGATGCTGTTTAATCCATGCCTATACTGCAGGCAAGTCCGATTGTTATTGCTGCCGTTTAAACTTCTCTGCTGGCAAAGGATGTTCTCTATGATGTCGGTGTTGAGGATGACGGTTGCAGCTGTGCATTAGGGAATCGGGGCGTTGTTATTTTAACGATTTCTTGGAACACGATCAGTGCGGATTGCAGATCAAAATAGGTCTGATGAGAGAGATAATGCCGCTGTAGGTTTTTGTGGGGGACATTGCGGTACCAGTTTTGAAACCAATGCAAAACATTCTTTAGGGTTTCAAGCCGTTCATCACTGGCAGAGGAAGTCCGAGCATGACTACGGAAAACGTTGATTATCGCAGCGGTGTTCTCAATGAACGAAATGGTGCCATCTATGGTGGTGCCATCTATGGTGTGCCAAGGTTCATCACCTGTCTGTACTTCTGGAGAACAAAAAAAAGGTAAAGGAAATCTAATTAGTGCTCAGTTTCATTACTCAACTACTTATACACATCAAAGGTATTTGGTTTCAGTGTTTTGATCCCTTTTGTCACAGACGTACAGTTGGTTGGCGTGTCGCACACTCACCTTTAGTAGACTTAACATGTCTTCATTGAGCACTTCGAATGCGAGGCTATTGCGCATTTTGGATGCAGAGTCGAGGAACATGTGACCTTGTGTTAGGCGATGGTGCTCTCTTTTGCTGTTTGCAGCAAGGTCCCACTCAGAGTCAAAGGCATCTCTGATATGGTGCCAGCTGTTGTCACCTTGTTGTCTACTGTTAGTACTATAGAAATATTATTCGTTTGCCAGTGATGCTCCCATAGATGCTGTTTCACAGTTTTTGGACCAAGTGCTGTGGAAAATAAGAAGTGATACCAAACTATCAATCACCATATGTCACATTAGTTTGGTCTACGTGGCTGCAAATCGAAAGACCTGTACTGATTATAAATAATACTGCAACAATTGCAGAATATGATAATTGCTTCGCAGAACTTGATCTGCTGGGGTGATATGCAAACTTGGATGCTTACAGATGGATCCATCAAGAAAACCATTGGTTCTGTGGAGACCGGGTTTATAGTTGTAAATCTAGCCTTGACAGCTTCATCAGCTGTGTGGAAATGTATTTCGACAAATGTTCTATTGATCTGAGCTCCATCAAAGCACATGTAGATGACGCTCATAGGGTCTATGTCCCCCTGGGTACTGCCGGAACGTACCCTGGGTGACGGTCCGGTATACCGCGAACGTTCCCTGGCCTAACTATTGATATGCGTTAGGGTTAGGGTTAGGCGCAGAGGCAGTAGGCGGACTCCCTAGACTCGTTAGCTGGCAGTAGGCGAGTACGGTCCGGCATATTAGATAGCACCAGGGTACTTCGCGGATACTGGACCGTAACCCAAGGGTACGTTCCAGCAGTACCCGGGGGGACATAGACCCTCTCAGCGTAGATAACGTAAGAAGTAGAACTCGGTAAGCAAACAGCCGAATATGCCATGACAACTTCAACAACAACCAGGAGCATAATATTCCCTCATAAACAGGCTATTGCTGACATTTCATATTTAAAAAATTTCAAACATTAACAGGAACATTTACATTAAACTGCGCAACGGAAGCAGCAACGCTCTTGAGAATTTCGACAGGCGTGTGTTGAGTTTGCGTGACACAGCTCGCGTTACGAACACGAGATAAGTATGTTTTATATAACAAGTGAACACTGCTTCTTCAAACTTGAACACAAAGATGAGTGTAGAAATGATTGAATATTTGTGTTGTATTCGTGGGAAATCAATGCGGAGCGTATCGATGCGAATTTTGACAGCACGCTTTCCGACATGCTATATATTTTACTGTGTCACGTTGTGCAGGGCAGCCAATGCGGCCAGCCAGCATTCTGTTTTCAAGTTGCTTGCAGCTCCATGGCATTGGACGGCATTTGCCAGGAAATTGTCGACATAATAGCATGAAAGAGAGTATAGAACACATTAATACATTGGTAGAAATGATTTCGTATTTATTTAGCATTATAATATTTATTGAAACGCCTCAAGTGCCCTGTGGTAGGAACGCTGCTACTAACTATCATATGACGCGAAGACGATTTGCAGTTATACAGTTTCTATAAAATTCAGCTGTTATAGACACGATTAGCCTTAATCTCTGTGAATTTTGAGGTCTAATTGCACAGCGCACGATTAGTCTAATTTAATTACGCGAACTATGCACCGCTCGGTATCGGTCGTGAAGGCTATACAACGGCTCTATGACCGGTGAAAGACGAAACGTCACCGAATTCTATTTTTATCCTCCAATCACAGGTCGGAGCAATTCCTCTGTTTAGACGCATGTCGTACACCAACCACTGACCAACGACGTGCCCACCAACCAACGCCACTGACCAATGACGTGCCCACCAACCTACGACATCAACTAACGACATCAACCAATGACGTGCCCACTGGAACAGCAGCGCAGTTGAGTGACCAAATTCTCTGTTTGAATGTTCCAGATGGCTCGAGCATTTCGTAGCTCAGCTACCAAACTTAAAGGACAGGCGTTCATGCCGTCAAAACCCATGCTTGCTGAACATGTCACAGCAGCATGTGCAGCAAAGTTACGTTGCGAGTTGTCTACGTCATCACCCGCATTAGCAGCGAAACGGATTCTTGACGATGACGACAGAGGAGTATTTAGATACGCCAGTGAGAAGGAGAAACGCACTCCCAGAATGTATGTCTGGGGATATGCGAAAACAGGTGCTCTGGGCGTGAGAACATTTGTAAAGCCGGAACGAGGCGCTGTTGCGAAGGTTCGGGATGTACAGACAAAGCCTTATCGGCTAAAATTCGCTGATCATTATCCGGTGAGTAATATCGATCATATTGTGTCGTCTATTTTAAGGTACTGTCATTCAATTTTGTTTCAAATCGTTAATTTTGTAGTAATTCGTGGTTAAAATATAAAAATGTGATGTGAAATACAAAAATTCGTAAAAATACAAGTAGGGTAAACGTATTAGCCCCGTTTAGTTACTTTTCATTGTAATAATGTGTGACTATGACTGATATATTCAGATTAGAGATGTTGCATGTGGCTATGGATTTACTGTCTACATTCCCAAGGGACGTTCAGATGATTACATGCTGCTTGGAACAGGATTGAATGTTGATTCTCAACTGGGATATCATGAAACTCGTAAAGGCTCGGGTTAGTGACAGATGGGTAAATAACGTCTGCATACACACAAATTATATGAGCCATTAATTCCAACTGGCCATGTTCTGCTTTCAAATAAATGAGGACAAGTTAAATGCTTTTACGGATATAAATTTGAAACGACAACCTGATTGAGAATTGCTCAATTATGCGTAGCCACTAATGCAAATCTGTGCTTTTACATGTACAAAAACCAATTGGATAGTCACCCTGAGAACCACATTATTTGAATTTTTCTGACCCACTTTACATTTGTACAGTTTTAGCTTGTTACATCATTAGTAAATCTTATAATTACTGAAATAATGGCCCTATATTCATTTCTCTTGTATAGTAGGAAATCAAGAAATATACATATTCATATTTCGTGATTTCCTACCATACAAAAAAATATTATACATGTACATTTTTTTTCTCATAGGAGTATCCCTTGGGTTAGTGGCGCAGCCAGTGCCAATTCATCTACCTGTGATCCATCAGAACACGAAAGTTGTGAATGTAGCATGCGGGCGTGCACATACTGTTGTGTTAACAGACCAGGAGGGAGTGATGAGCTTGGGCAACAATGCTTTTGGACAGTGCGGAAGATCTGTCGTGAAAGATGAAAAGTATAGGTGTGCATTACGAATATTGTTATTTGTATTTATCGTCGCGTAAACTTGTGTGATATCATGAGAAGTTTATTGATAAATATACTCATTCAATTTTATTTTGGCTAAATTCATTCTATTTGCCTCTACCCACATTGATATTACAGTCTTTTAAAGAGACATTTCCTCTGCAAATATAATATGCGTGTTCTCAATGGAACGTTATCATCTTTCTCTTTCTTATTATCAGTTCAAATCGAATCATCTCGAAAGTGAAAGGCTTACCATCCAATGTGAGCAGTGTTGTGTGTGGAAAAGATAGTACATTCTTCCTGACTGGAGATGGCCAGGTGTATAGCTGTGGTATCAGCTCTTGTGGCCAAAGTGGTAAGAGTTTAGAGTAAAAGGTGAAAACAAGCGTTGGCCTGGTGGCTTCACAGTGGGTTTGAGATTCCCAGGCATCCTAAGCATTTAAATTTTGTCATCAGCTTCCTGTGGCATGAAGTGATATTCGGATTCTTTTCTGCAGGTGTCTGTAATGTAGATTTAAAAAAAAGCCTGACACATTATTATGGTATTATAAATACTATTATCTTGATGTTGTTTCTGGTTAATCTCTGCAGATTTTAAATAGAGACAATTCTACTCTCAGTCCCCAAATTCTTGTGGCCGTAATAACAATGTTGCTTTTGCTGACAGGTGCTGGTGTTTATTCAGATGTAAGCATACCAACACTCATTAAGGGAGACATTGAAGGCGAGAAGATAGTGCAGTTGAGTAGCAACGGAGGCTCCGTCCTAGCTCTAAGTGGTATGTCATCCGGGTTTTCTTCCTGTGATATGTGATTGTTTTTAGCTCATCTGACACAATGAGATGCAGCTTGCAGAAATGCATGAGTATCTGTCCGTCTGTCAACAATATAGGCACAAATCTAAATGGCTTGATGTAATGTTGATATTCAGGACATAGGGGGCAATCCGAAATGACATTGTGATGTCAAATCAGGGAGTCAATGGTCAAAGGTTAGAGAGAGAGAAGGAAGTGGGAATATTCCCCCTTAACTTAAGGTATGGGAGAAAAGCTATTGTTTTTTGGCTTTATTGAAAGGACCATGAAATATACTTTTTCCACTGGTGTGCAAATAGTAGCTGTTCTATTCGTAGCCGCAATATTCGTTGTAAGCATTATTACTGGAACCTAACCCTGTCGTAAAACAGGACCTACCTGTACTGAGATTAAGAATACTTGATTTACTATTTTAATACTTATTACTTGATTTCTTTCACAGATAGTGGGATTAATGATAGTCTGTTGTTTTACCTAAAATGGCCCCCAGACCTGACATCGTACAATGTCTTGGACACTGCATTTGTAGAGAGCGGAGCTGTTGTGCTATAAGGTTGGATATGACATATGTCTCGAGCAGGTATGGAAGGACCATTCGGGCGTGAGACAGCTAATGATTTGTAATAATCCGAGATTAGTAACACCAACAGGCGTCACAGCTATAAACATTATTGGGATGAGATAGCATCTAAATACAGTAATTCTTGAGTCAGCTGCGTGACATGTAGTATTGATTCACTCTGATATCTTTCTCACGTTTTAAAACCGTGATAATGACTCTTTTAATAAATAAATAGAGTAAAATTGTAACTAGATTTAATCCATTTCTTAGCGTCGCGCCATGTGGTAAATGCGAGTGTGACAATTTCTAAGGCCTATAAACCTCTTGCGGATAGCTCCGTGATACAGCGTAAAAGGATGGTAGCATGGACGAATAAATTTGTAACAGTGTAATTATTTAAGTGTAAGGCACAGGCAGTGTTTTGCCACAAAAATATATACAGACATAAAAGATTGTGATGTTGATGAATGAGCAAATTAGATGCGCGTAAAATGTTGTTATATTTCAGTTACCGTGGCCGAGATTTGCAGTATGATAAAAAAGGCAGTGCGCACATCCTTCAATGGCGATAAGACTGGTTCCAGGTATGCTCATGTGTTCTTTGATGCGAATGCTTATGATGAATGATGAACGCACACTTTACCTTATTTTTCATGACCGTATATATCTTCCATTCATTCCAATCAATTTCTTCTCGTCTCTAGATTACATAAAGTAAACTCGTCAATGCTAATTTCAATAAACCCTAACTGTCTATCGATCGTTGATACTCGTAACACGTCTCTCACTTACATTCCGTTGTAAGGTTCGCAATATAGGGCATCTTATTAGCTGGAACACGTTCCTAGCTGAGGCCACATCCACTCGCATGACGATGAGTCAGACTACGATTGGTGCACGGTCGCTGCAAAGTCACATTCGAAACGCGTAACACTGATTCAAAGTCGACATTTCATACCACTCAATGTACTGTTGGGCAGTTCGTTGCATACACTACTTACTCGTGTCATCAAATCCAGAGTGTACACTTTCGTCGCTCAGAATGTTGTACGGGTTGTCAGCTCAAGACTACCCTGAGAAATGTAAGCATTGCGGGTTGCATCGAGCGCAGAGGGATTTCGAAATGATTCTGTGATTATTATTTGCTGCACTCTCTCTCGTCGAGTGAGTCCGGGGGGCATTGCTGCGATCGCGCTACAGTGAGTTTATGTGATGTCAGGATGATGTTTCTGCTGAGCGTTATGAAACTTCTCAGTGTATATCTCTGGCTGTAGGACTTTTAAGCAATTTTTTAAGCAATTATATATATATACTCATACTAGTATGTCTAATCGTAATATAGTAACACACTATGAATTATATATAATGAATAAAAGGCATATATATCGCGATAATATATTAGTAGTCAGCGAGTAGATAATAGGGAGGAAGTGGACCATCAAAGAAAACAAGGGAAAATCGTTCATTGACTAGCCATTATAATAACTTACGATTAACTAGCAGCGTAACTCATCCAACTTGAGGCTCAAATCGGCACACAGACATTCGCCCCATCATCGACGAAATCGTTTCCTCGTAGAACACCCACGCAAGCCGTAAGATAAGGCTAAAACGTAGCGACACCGATGTCTCGCATTCTCTGGCCATCATTCTCCAATCCATTGCGCCGCTAAATCTCAAACAAAAGGCAGCTACTCGCTAACTCGCTATTGCTAAGCTGAGGCGAGGCATAGGCTCGCCTGGAGATTAGCATCAACACTTTCGGCGAGATAGACCGTTTGACCCGGTACACAGATACACAGCCACCTTTGTAACATTAGCTGGCAATGCACACTTCACGCACAGCACGCCAACCAAATTAGCTCGTCGAGTGTGGCGATCCGATCTCTCAAGTCTCCCCTGCGAGCCAACGCCATCATGTTCAGCTATCGCGAGAGAGCAACACAAGCCAGGTTGCGCCTTTGCCTGAATTAATAGGGGCGCGCTATGGCGTTGGATGAATGGCCCAGACGAATGGAGAATTGGTCGTACGTTAGGCTGTATATCTAGCGGATTGGCGGTGTCTACGAGGAAACGATTAAGCGTAACGATGATGGCGGCAATGTACTGTGTCACGATTACCTCAAGTGGAGGAGTTACCGTAGTAAATCGTAGGTATTATAAGGCTAGTAATGACGAATTCGCGCTGTTTATCTGATGTCACACTGCCTCCTATGGATCTATCCTGAATATATAATAGGCTCATTAATTAGCAAGTCTCTGCTACATCTAAAGAACATTGTTCCGTAGGTGCTGTGGCTGCGAGTGGCATTTACGACTTGAGCCTACATGCCAACCGACTACTGAAGGAAAGGCCGCGCCGGCATGACGAGGAATGGTGTAATCTAATGCACAACATAAGCCATCTGCACATACTTTAATAAGCCTGACAGCATGTAACAGATTACGCTAGTCAATTAGAACGGTGGCAGGCGTCTACTGTCTCCCTGGGTACTGCCTGCGGAATCGTACGCCCTGCGTACATAGCCTAATATGCGCGGACCGTACCTCGCCTACCCACTAAACTAGGATCCCATACAGCCTACACTGCCTAACCCTTAGACCATTCCAAGATTACTTATCCTCAGGGACGTTTCCGTATATCCCAGACCGTACCGACCAGGAGTAGCGTTCCGGCAGTACCGCAGGGAGACATAGATCC